CTTATGACCCAATTCCAGAAGACCGATTCATATGAAATTGTGATGCTGTATTTGTGAAGATCAGGACTATTGAAGAATATTGAAGCAGAGTTGCCAATTTAGATCTGATGAAGACTCAACAGACATACAGAGAGTCCCTCCAATTAGAACGCATAGAGAGTCCCTCCAATAGACCGCAAACAAATTGGAGATGAAGAAAATGTTCCATAAGAACAAGTGCCAGAGTTAGAAAATCCAGAAGTTCCTAATGAAAATAAACCAGATGAAGATTGTGGTGTTCATGTTCAGCCACCAGCTCCAGAAGTTTCTCAAACATTAAGAAGATCTAGTACAGTCTGACAACCATCTACTAGATATCCAGTCAATGAATATGTATTGATGACTGACAGGGGAGAACCTGAAAGCTTTGAAGAAGCTATGGAAATGAACATAAGAGGAACTGGATTGAAGCCGTGCAAGATGAAATGAAGTCCTTGCATGTGAAGTCCTTGCTTGAGGAATGAAAACATTTGGCTGTTGTGAAGTTGCCAAAGGCAAAAAGCTTGAAAAACAAGTGGGTGTTCAGGATGTAAGCACGGAGAAACGCTCCAACCAACGATTCAAAGCCTAGACTGGATTGTGAAAGGATTTAATCAAAGAAGGGTATTGATTTTGATTCTTTTCACCAGTTTGTGAAAATGACATCCATTCGGACAGTGCTTCGGAACGGCGCCAGTTTTGATTCTGGAAAATCGAGCAAATGGATGGAAAGACTAACCTTCCCTACAACATGGAGATTTTGGAAGAAGAAATATAACATGGAGCAACCAGAGAGTTTTTTTGTAGAAAAAGAGGATTGTGTTTGCCAAACTGAAGAGGCCTGTATGGCTTAAAGCAGGCCACTGAGACAGCTGGTACAGAAGTTTGACGTCTATTATGGGGAGCATGGCTATAGAAATGACTACTTCAGATACTTATGAAGAATTCTCTGATGATGACCTACAATTGTTTTTGCTCTATGTTGTTGATATGGTGACTGTTGGTCAGAATTCTAGCTTGGAAGAACAGCTAACGTAAGTCTTTTTGCGCCATAAAGAACTCGGGACCAGCAAAGCAATTTTGGCAATGAGATGGAGAGCCAAGAAATTTATGGTTGTACACGGAGAAGTAGTTGAGAGACGTATTTCAAAGGTTTAGAACTGGAGAATGCTAAAGAGGTTAGTTGTCCTCTTTATACTAATCACTTTAAAATAGTTCTACAGTGCCCTTCTTACGAATGGAAGAGCAAGGGAAGAAATGGAAAAAGATCTGTATGGGTTGTGCCTTGTGTCGAAAGTTCTTCCGACAAAAGGAGTTCGGGCCGGCGTGGTCCCCGCAAAGTATGTCAGCGGCGGTACAAGATGGTGGGCAGATCTATAGATTATTAGTGCAGAGGGAGCCGTGTCGATGACAGTCAAAGATCATTCACCTTGGACAAGTAATTCCTCTTCCATTCTAATACTGATCAGGATGTGTTGAAGATGAAGCTGTTACAAGCTTGAGAAGATCCCATACAGGAGAAAATGGATCAGTCATGTTGACGAAGATTCTTTCAAAGGAAAAGTTTTGAATACTGTCGGATAGCTGCATGGATGATCGGAGAATACTGGCTAATGTTCCCACTTAAGTGTGCAGGGGGGAAGAATTTGTTGTGGTGTGCCCACTTTAATGGAAAACTCACCAATGTCGTGAAAGTAAAGAAAAAAAGATAGGAGCAGCCAGTTCAACAGTGATAGCACAATGGGCGGTACAAACCTTTGAAAGAGTTGTACACGGCATTTCCTACGTAAACCTGCCTATAAATAGAGGCGAGGCAGAACGCACAACACATACCAGAAAGAAAGAGAAATGTAGCAAGCGAGAGGTGTTATAGTTTTAAGGATTGAGTTTCCTAAAACTGGGGAGAAAAATGTGAGATTTATTTTGGGGTGTTTTTTTGGAAACCACTTTGTGTGCCACTTAATTTTTTTGTATTATCTCTGTGGTGTACCTACTATTGTTTTAATTAGTGTAAGAAATATTCGGAGTTTGTCCGTGGATCGTAGCCCTAAATAGAGTTGAGGGTGAACCACGTTAAATTTCCTGTATGTCCATATTTATTATTTCCGTGCCCTGGCTGCCGTAATTATTTTCTCTTAATTGGTTAAAAGGGCCCAACGAGTGGTATCAGAGCTGATGCCCAACAACTGGTATCAGAGTCGATATCCTAACATGATCACTATTCAGTTTTAAACCAGAATCAAATTAGGACGGGTCAAAATCATTATCTAACTGTGATCATTTGTTTGATTTGAAACCGTAATCGAGATGTGCATTTGCTGTTTGGTTCTAATTTTTTTAATTTTTTAAAATCGAAATTAATGATTTTGATTTGAAACCATAAAAAAAAATTTTCAAATAAACTTCTAATTGTTTTTTTCTATTATAATTTTTTTAAAATAAATTTTTAGACTTATATTAAATTGGTTTAGCTTTTTTTTCAATAGTACTATTTTTCATTATCATTATTATTTATCCAAGTTACAAAATTTAAAAGAGATCAAAAGTTTGAAATTATCTATTTTCAATGCCAAATCCGAAGAAGATCGAAACTGGCTAAAAGTAATTCGGTTCTGGTTCAATCAACGGTTTTGAAATGGAAGCCACTGATGCTAAAACTGTGTCATGCCCAATTGCCTACCAGGATAATATAGTTTTTGTTGTCGGAATTTGCAATTTTTTTTTATATTTTGATATCTAAAAGAAAAATAATAAATGTCTAGACTTTTATTTTTTATTTTTTTAATTTAGTATCTCCCCACAATCAAAATATACAGTATAACTAAGTGGGTTTTACTTTTACGTAGGTGGCGGCTGACATGGCCTAACAATTAATCCACCCCAACAGTCCGGTGGGACATATGGGGTCAATTTACCATCCTAACCTCATTTGTTACATTGGAAACAAAAATAAGCTATGTTACTTTACTATTCACCAATTGCGTTTTTGCCTCTCTCTTTCTCTCTCTCAATTCTCAATCCACATTTCACCTCTAAAATCACATCAAAGAAAGAAGGAATTTCTATTTTGCACAAAGGGACAAGCCACTGAAGAACCCATTACAGACTCCAAGTAAGCTATTCAATATTATTAGCTAAAAAAATAAGATTTTTACTCGTTTGGTTTGGAATGCTGTTTAAATTTATAGTGTTTACTCTCATGTGGATTTTATGTATTTTTAGTGTTCTTACAGAGAAGAATCTTGAGGAAAAATTGAGCTGCAATGGGAAAAAGAAAGTGACCTTTGGTCTAAATGACAAGACTGATAAGGGTTTATTTTCAAAGGAAGTTACTGGTAATGAAATTGAGAACAATGAGAAGGAAGAGGATGAAAATAAAGAAAAAGAACTGTCAAATGAAACAAATGAGATTGGAATGGTAAATTGACTCCATATGTCACACTGGACTGTTAGGTGTATTAATTGTCTGGCCGTGTAAGTGGCCACTCAGGTAAAAGTGAACCTCACTTATTGTCTATCTCATCAGAAAACATTAAATTGAAAATAAATTAAAAATCTAGACACTCAATTAACATCATTTTTCTGTTCACTTAGTCCTATTGTATGCTCCAATTGTCCACCTCATCAAGAAATGTCAAATTGAAAATAAATTGAAATCAATTGACGTCATTTTCTATTCAGACACTGAAATAGAAAAAAATCACAAGGTCAAACACCTAAAATAACATTATCCCTTCCCTCTCTCTATCATCACCGCATCACAGTTAAAAATACTTTCAAATTCGCATTAATTTGCTAATTTTTTCTACAAACTACACCATTTTTGTCATAAGCCTGTTTGAACTGTCACATTAACTCGTTAGTCATATTAATGTGATTGCACTATATTACTTTCAATATTTGAAATGCTATATTCTCAAATTAAATTCAAGAATGTTAATGGAACACAAAATTATTTAGATCGCCGCTGCCTCCACTCTTGTATCATTCACGTGAACGTTCTAAAGGAATACGCGGTGCTGCAAACAACTATTCACAATTGCTCTCCATATGATGGACATTATCACATTGCTCCACAATCAATGCGAAAAAAAATTTCTATACTGAGACTTTACATTAATACAAAAATAGGCTAAAACTAAAAACAAAAAAAGAAAGTTGTTCCCCAAATTGTCTACAATTGCCAATCTAAGCCTAGTCGAAGAGACATGTCAACCTCTGAAGAATATGCGATATATTGAATTCTATAAGAGCAGGTTCTTTTTATATACAGCATGTTTCTTGGGTGAAGCAACTGAAAAAAAAATCATGGAATTTGCAGGACAATTTCCTTGTTTGCTGTTAATTTACTAATATTTTGAGGTGCAGTTGTGTTTTTTCACAAACATAGAAGACTGTAGAAAACGAGTGGTATGAAAGCATTATCAAGTTGTGCTGTGTAAGCCTCCAACAAACCACTCACAATCACTGCTAGGAGAAGAGAGACCCAGTGCTGCATAAATTAGTAGTGGAAACATCAACTTGTGCATAAATTATTCATTTCAACTATCTGAGACAATAGGTCAACCAGACAACAATGATATTAAAAGCCTGTGCATGAACAAGTATGCTTCTCTGTCTGCGGGTGGGTGGGTGGGTGCCTGTGGCGTGCATGTGCCTGTATGAGCATATGTTTGCATGAGAAAGAGAGAAAGGAAGGGAGAGAGACCTGGGAAAGAATATAACCAGTGGATGCTAGAAGAGGAAGCAAAAATGAGCAAGCGGCCATGACAGAAGTTATACCAGCTGCAGTCCCTTCAATGGTTTTCTCTAGCAAGAAGATAAGCTCCACATGTTAGCAGGGTCACAACGAAGCAAAATCTGCGCAAGAATAAATCCTTCTCTCTCTTTTTTTGTTTTTTATGAAGTAAAGATAATACTTACTTCCAGTTTTGCTCCATCTGAGGACACCATATTTATGGCCAACCATTGATGCCTGTGCATAAAAGCAAAGCCATATTTTTATTCTATAAAAGATACAACAAGTATGAACAAAACCATAGAATAACACACTGGTTGGTAATACTATGGGTTTAATCAATGTCATTTACATCAATTATCAGATTCCTTTCCTGTTGATGCATAGCAACCTTAAGATATAATTATTCAGGCCCTAAGAATCCCAATGGCCAACTGAACACATGCATCCTGCCAATTTGAATAACTACTGTATCAACCAAGATACAATGTCCGAAAATACTCACAACTAGAGCAAAAAATAAAAATTCCTGTCATCAGAATTTCAACATTAACTTCAGCTAAATTATAGTCCCAGAGAACTACAGGAAAATCTAGATCCAACTCCAGAAACCCATGAAAATCTACAGTAAGACACTGCAGTTTAAGATTCTGTCTTCTTTTTTTGGTCTCAATCTTCAATTATATCCAGAAATACAGCAAAAGTCACACGAGTTATTCTCAATCGCTTAGAAGGTTACGAGCATCAGCTGGGCTGAAAGATTCGATAAAATATTGACCCAATTTGAATAGAGGTCTAAAATTCTCCAAGAGTGCTAAGGTTCAACCTAAAGTGCCAAGAAACTGTCAATCATGATGCTGGTGCCACGTCATATTCTTCATGCCCCCTTCCAACTCTTCTTTGTCTTACCATTCCTGAAAAGGTCTATGTTACCTTAGCTCATTCTGCAATGCTAACTTGGCTAGACTACCATTTATGCATTGCAGTGAGTGAAGAAACTATTTTTAACAGAAGCAGCAACCATTGTCCTAATGATAATCTTGGATTCTAAAAGATCCTAGAGATTGTTAGACCTAGGATGTGCAATTTTCAAACTTCAATGATGCCAAAACTAGATACAAATATAAAACAAAAAAGCATTTAATAGTTAGCATATTAGCAGCAACACACATGGTAACAACCATACTCACCATCGTATCCCCAATTCCGAGGCTCAAAATTCCAGCAAAAGGAGCAAGAGGTCGGTCATTGTACCCAGAAGACATCCAAATGGGAAGCGCACATCCCAATAGTAGTGAAAAGTGACTGATTAAAGTGAAAACGAGAAAAGAAGGGCCACTCTGTCATTTGCATCAACCATGTGTATCACAGAAGCAAACTGAGAAGACAACAAGCTATACCTGACAATGAGGAGATCAGAATCGCGATGGTCTGTGAATGCATTCATAAATTGATGTATGAGTTGTCCCCATGGCCAAATTCTCCATACCTGTCCACAACATAGATGCCTTACGAAAAATACAACAGGAAAGGTGGAGGAAGCCATAATGAAGAAAATATGAAGAAAAATCGGACCATAAATTATGTAAGTGATGACTTCAACATTGCATTAGAATTTATGTCAAGGTCACAAATCCCAGTGTTTTTAAACCCAGACAAGACTGTTCAATCCAAGAGGAGAGGGAGCGTAGCCAGGGACTGTTCTAGACACCTGTCACCTATTTGTGTTATCTCCAACCAGCTAGGTATTGATGACCTGGGAGTGCTTTTTACATTTCTGACTGAGCAGCTAAATGATGACAGTTGATCCAATACTTCTGAAATGAAGCACTATCCTCACTCCTCAATAGCATAACCTCTTAACCTCAGACAATTTCATTACAGTGATTATCATAATTCCCATATATTGTCATTTATTGCAAAATCTGCTCACAGTACCAACACATCATAGTTTGACAATAGTACTACTCCCATGTTGTATAGGCATATTGTTGTCACCGCCAACAAGAACCGTGTCAGCCATCTTAGAACTTCAAAGCTGTCAGGTGCTTTGAATGATCAAGGGCACTACATAACATTAAGATAATTCATATCACAATTTTTGTTCTCTTTAGAGTTTCCAGATCTTCAAACAAAATGAATCAACAAAGCCTAAATCCAAATTTTTAAACAGAAGGGCTATAATTCATAAAGTGGTCTGGTCAATTATGGTTATAATTTATTTCTCATGAAAGTTCCAGCCAGAAGTTTCAAAATTGGATGTTTTAGAAATTCTTATCCTCTTCTATTTGGCATTAAAAATCCTATCATTTAAAGTTGCAAGTTGATCTGTAGATCAGCCTTAACAAACTTGAACGCCATTTAGAATACATCGTAAAACTAGCCATCATCATGTTGTTTGATCACAAAACCTATGCACATATCTGCATAGCTGATTGACTTACTCGAATAATTTCCAGGGTCAAGAAAACTGCCAAGGCTGCACCAAATGCAAGATCAAGAAATCTTGGCTGAAAAGCAAATATAAAGTCATTACTATATCAAAGGAAACCCCTTAGAATGGACAAAACAACAACAACAAAAAAATAAAAATAAAAATAAAAAAAAAATAAAAAAACATACTAGAATACACAAAAACACAAGATAAAAAGGGGCAATCTGAATACATAATTACTATTCCTGAATTACCTGGTAGATAACTGCAGGTAGAAACACTAAAACAGCCATCAGATGGTAGTACTTTCGAAGAAGAATCCGCTCAATCTTACTACTCTTTGATATGTTGTAAAACCGTGGAACAGAAATGTATATTACGCATACCCAATAGATACACAATGAAAGTCTTTTAACTGGTTCCGAAAAGACAAATGTTATTACCCTGTTAAAAAAGTAGATGATATGAAGGCATTCTGAAAATTTACATCCAATAGGTTACAAAAAATTTGACACCATAATACGTAGCATTTTGTCAATTTCAAGTGCAGGTAAATAACTTGCCACAGTTAGCATGCTGCAGTGACAAACAACTTGCACCCCTATTGGGACATTATATATAGCCATTGTCCCAAAAAGGAGTTCCCAGGTCAAAGTTCAGACTCTAGCAGCAACCGTCTTACCCATAAGGTGTAGTAAAATATTACGGTAATTAAAATATCAAAATAATCATGAAAATCATGATTCCAGCTGTCAATAAACATCTATGCCATTAAAATAGCATATCTATCACTTATCCATTCATTTCTAAGGCTCTAAGCTCACTTGAATAAGCAGCTTACTTCTGCATTAGATCAGATTGTAAACCAAGTCGATAAAGTTCCATTATTGAAGAAAATATTTATAGAAAATATAATACCATAACAATGGATGCACTTGAAAATCCTGGACAAACTGCATCCATGTAGGGATGATCAAAACCAAGATAAGACCAAGTGAAGCAAAAAATAGAAAAGCTCTTTCTCTCTCATTATATGGCACTGATCCAGAGGTTGTTCCACTGAAAAAGCAAGCCCATAACCGTAGAACAAATTTAAAGACAATTGGGAAGAGAAGAAGACCAAGAAGTAAACCCTGCATGGAAGAGAACAACCTTTACTATCCAGTTGAGTAAGCATAATAAATAGTACAAGAATGATTCTTTTCATTGATAATTTAACAGTTAAAAAAAAATTCATACCTGAATGATAGTACTAATCTCACTTCTCTTAATTCCATACTGAAAAGGAACTGACTCAGATGAAATCAAGTATCCTTGAAGCTGTTCAAACAATATTCATCACCAATATAACATAAAAATTCCTGGCTTAATCCAGGGAAGAATAGTAAAATATCTTGTGAAAGCACTAGCCTTTGTGATCGTACAAGCCAACATGTCACCAAAGTAGAGAACAAGGCCCATAGTCACCAAAAGTGTTTCTCCTACAAAGGCAAAGTTCAAATATAATTACAGAAAGGAACTGGGAAGACCTACATATGAATATATCTAAAAATCATAGAAAGGAAATACAAGGACACTATTTACAGAAATTAATTCCAGATAATCAATTGTGATCTGCTGCAACTGATGACAAATTCCTTACGATGTATAGTGTTTGCTTGCAAATACCTCATATTTCGTATCACAGAACTGAACGCATTAATTTAAAATATTGAAGGTATAATTTTTTTATATCTTGGTAGGCATCATGGAAATTGGTGGCAAAAAGAAATTAATGCCAGACGACTGTCATTACATTTTCATGAAAACCCATCGTTTTAAGGTTTTACCACTAACTGTTGTGATGAATGCATGACGGAAACAACAAAGAGAATAAATGCCCACAAGACCTCGTACGAAAATACATTAGATAATTCAACAGTCATGAAATGTACAAACATGCACTACAAGTTCTCACAGGTGGATGGTCTTAGAGTCTCAATTGCTGAAATGATGACACTGAAGATGCATCTAAAGGCTATAAGATAGAACACACAATAATGGGCCATGCTTCTGTTAAGATATATTTTGTCGGTAAATCAAAAATTATAACCTGATAAGGTATGTCCATCTAATTTTTCTGGAGGAAAAGGAATGCATATAATTCTTGTATCATAATTTTATTATTGAACTCAATATTATTATGACTTTGGAGTACCCTATGACCAATAAAGCAAAGCAGAATTATTTAGTATAATTTCACATACCAATGGAAGCACATGATGGAAATGTATTAAGAAGATGCTGCACCAATTTCACACTTGCAAATCCATGAGAGAGCACCCACAGTAATTTTAATGCTGTTGATATACCTGCAAAATAAATAAATACAGTAATCAAGAATAGAAGTCTTGCTGATGCAAATATTCATCAGCTGAACCACAAACACTGTTACATATGCCTCTAATTATTTTGAGAGGAAGGGGTTTGTTCAGATATTCACAAGAAAGAGACATAATTTGCTTACTTTGTACAACAACCATTACAAGAAAACCCCTCCACATACACACTAGTTGTAGAATTCCAGACTTACCAGCAGTAGACAATATCAACTGCGCTGCACATAAAAGAAAACAACCAAAGCTAAACTTAGCAGCCCACGAGCTATGTGAATGCCACATGACCAAGCGTAGGAACATAAGTACACTGAAGCAGCTAGCAACTGCGGCCCAATATTGCACTGACATGTAATCAAGTTCTGCATAGTAAGATAAACATGTCATAATAAATCTAGAGAGTTAGGTGATTCAAGATCACGGTACAATGAACTTTGCCTCCCAATAAATTTTAGAAAAACATAGTGAATATAATTGTTAAGTATCAATATGATAAATCCCCCAAATGCAAAAGATGGCAACTCAGTATTCAGCCAATATAACCACATATCAGGACATTAACAAAAGGAATTTTTCTTTCTTTAAAATATATAATAGGCAACTAGCTAACAGAATATAAATATAATTATGAACAGCCTAAATGCAATAACTAGGCACAATTACTAACAACCAACACAAATTTAATTGGATTAGACAAAATAATCAATAAGTCAATGGAAGTGTTCATCAATATATAAATACAAGGACAGATATAGTCTAATGATGCGAAATTGATTATATTAAATGATGATTAGTACCTTCATATTCAATTTGATGCAATGAGAATGCCCTTGAAAGCTGTACCAATTTAGAAAGCATAACAGCAGGTAATGTAACTGCACCTAGCAAAATCCCCGACGAAGCAGCAGGCCTGAAAATAGAATCAATATTAAATTAGGTGCTTTAATATAAAAATTAAAACAAGAATATGCTCTAGATTTATGTACTGTCCTTAATTAAACCTCAATTTCAACTTGAAACCCTAAGGAGTAAGGTTACCTGGTTTTGAATTGAGAAATGGAAGAGGAAGAAGTAGTTTCAGCGCATATCTCGATGTAAAGAGCGAAAAGAGCGAGGAGACCGAGAATGGAGCCGTGGAAGAGCAGAGAGAGGCGGACGGAGAAGAGAACGCAACCGATAAAAAGCAGAACAACGGCTCTCTCGCCGTTAAACAACGGCGAGAAGCTAACAACCATGGCCGCTCCTAGCCGGCGATTTACGAAATTAGAAAATTAGGTGAAACGGAATCGAAATTTGAAGGGAAACCCAAAAAAATTGTTCTGATGTCTAATTTCTGATTTCTGATTTAAAACGAGGAAGAGAGTTAAATTAAAAAACATATGAAAATGGTGGCATTTTGTTTTCGCGGGAAGAATTTTCTTTCGGGATAGGTTTTTATACAATACTGGAGACAAAAGGATTAATTAGGCGCGTCTTTGGTCTTCGAATGTGTGCAGTTACATCTAATCGAACTAACCGAGGGGGAGGAGAATGGTCGTGGGCCCACTACTACGTGTTTAAATCAATTGTTAGTTGCCATGTCATCACCATGGGTTTCTCGTTTTATTTTACTTTTTCAGGAAATATAAATGATTATTTACGTAATTAATACCAATTTTAGTTTGTTCTCAAACTTTAAGACCCTTTTCTAAAAATTATTTCAATTTTATCCCAATCTTATAAACCTCTTGCAAGTTGAGGATTTTATCATTTTCGTTTTAAGTGAGGAATGACGGGATTGGAACATAAGAAATAAAATTATAAACATTTTATTATGGGACCAATTTTAATAAATCAAAGTATTAGTTGAACTTAATTTTTTAATTAATCCAATAAAACTTAAATCAAATCCTATAACATCTCAACCTCACATGATGATATTATTGGCTTTAGTCCTAACCCAAAGCCAGTTTGAATTAGTTTAAGCCAGCATGTCAACTACCCACGTTGATGAAGACACTTTAAACCAATTTATATGTTTTGAAAATCAGAAAGAGGTGGTTTGGATCAATGGAATGCAAAATTTATATATTTTAGGCTCCTTTTATTTTCGAAAAATAATTTATATTTAAAAAACATTTTTCCTTGAAAATATTTTGCAAATAACTTATTTTCCGTTGTTTAATTATAATTTGAAAATTAGTTTAAAATATTAAAATTTTTAACTCATAAGACCATAAAAATAAAAATAAAAATACTAATAATATAAATTTCGTATTTTAAAAATTTTATTAATAATACTAAATTTGTAATTTTAACAAATTTTATTTGTTAAACTAGGAAAATAATGTAAAAAAAAAAAAAAGATACAATTATTCATAAGACCATAAAAATAAAAATAAAAATACTAATAATATAAATTTCGTATTTTAAAAATTTTATTGTTAAATAGGAAAATAATGTAAAAAAAAAAAAAGATAAATTATGAAAGTCGCTAGTGATCGATAGTGGTGGCTGGTGGTGGCCAATGGTGATAGTCGACGGTGGGTGGTGGTGGTGAACAGTGAGTGGTGGTAGTAGCTACCGATGATTGATAAATTAACAAAATATAGATTTATAAGATTATAACAAGTTTATCAAAATCAGAAAAATGTTTTATGCTCTTGAAGTTAATTTTCCTCTGATTAGAAAAATATTTTCTGTTGACTTATTTTCCTGAACGCTTCCAAATAATGAAAAATTGTGAAAAATATTTTCATACAAGTTATTTTACGAAAATAAATGGAGCCTTAATTTTATAAAAATTTATGTAACATTGAATCTGTAGAATTGCACATTTCAGTTAAATAAGTATAATCTGTAGATTTATATGATATTTTTTGGAATATAATCTGGTTAAACAAGCATAATCTATAGATTTATAATATCTTTTTGAAATAAAATTAAATGGTTTCAGTCATACTATTAATACGAACGATAAAATTAAGAAAATTTGACTTCTAAAGTGGGATTTCTCTCTTCTCTAAAAAAAAAAAAATTAATTAAAACCATAATGGAATATATTAATTATATGAATTATAGTCTATTTTTTCTTAACCAAATGAAGGAACCATTCAAACCTACCAATACAAGCAAACTCATTAAAGTCTTGTAGATGATGGCCTTACCCAAAGCAATAAAAGGAAATAAAAGTAACTATTAAACTTAATTTGTTCTCAGTTTAATTATATGCATTGTAAATTTTAAATATTATTACGTAGCTAACATTTGAACAAAAATATTAATTAAAGTACAATATTGTATGTATTTCTAAAAATAAATAAATAAATATGTACAACTATATTAGGAAAGCAATTATCGTGTACGTAGTGTTGGTGAGGAATTCAAACACTCCCATGAACAATTCACACCTTACATAAGCAAGCTTATAATGTCATCAACACATGTCAAAAACATAGTAGAAACACGAGGATCAATGTGATAATAAGTTTAAGTCACCATTTGGATGTATATAGATGAATGTGGATAGAGCAACCAAAAGAAGAGCCTTAATTATGTTAGGATCAATCAAACACTATTATTGTTTCTTTGTAAACGTCTTGGCTCAGGCAGGTCTTCAAAGGCTGCACATGATCATTCTTGTTTTGACTCATGGGTTCAGTGTTTATCCACTTAATTTGTCTGTTACGTTTAATATTCCTTTTGCATTGCCAAAGGTCAATTAACTAATTATAGAAAAGATACTATATGTATATTCTCTAGAGTTCACAAGCGAAACGTGACCATGCACCAATTCAAAATTCCGTAAATATGGCAATGTCAGTCGTTTCTACACTAGCTATATCTGGCTCAATTGAGCTGCACATGAGAAAAATACGCAACTTTCAAGAAACACCTTCTTCTCTTTGGAACAAAACCCTAGTTTAGTTTCCTGCAACAAAATCCTAATTAAAATGGCAGACAAACCCAAAAGGCCTCATGCCATCTTCATTCCCTACCCTCTACAAGGCCATGTTATCCCTTCTGTCCATCTCGCAATCAAGCTTGCCTCTCAGGGTTTTACCATCACCTTTATCAATACCCAATATATCCACCAACAAACCTCCAAGGCAGGTTCCACAGCCGGGCCGGACTTGTTCACCAAGGTTCGTGGATCAGGTCTTGATATTCGATACACCACCGTCTCTGACGGACTTCCTATTGGGTTCGACCGGTCGTTGAACCATGATCAATTCATGGCAGCCCTATTGCATGTGTTTTCAGCTCATGTAGAGGAGGTTGTGGGTCAGATTATTGCTTCTGGAGAAGATGTCCATTGTTTAATCGCTGATACATTTTTCGTATGGCCTTCAAAAGTTGCCAAGAAATTTGGATTACTATATGTTTCATTTTGGACAGAGGCTGCTTTGGTGTTTACTTTGTATTACCATTTGGATCTTTTAAGGATAAATGGCCATTTTGATTGTAACGGTAAGATTCTCATTACAACAAGTATTTCTATGTTCTCTTTTGGATATAAAACTAATTTTGTTTCAGGGTTCGTATCAGATCGCCGGGAAGATGTTATAAACTGTATACCAGGAGTGAAAGCAATTGAACTGAAGGATACAATGTCATATCTGCAAGAAAAAGATGCAACATCGGTTTGTCATCAAATCATATTTAATTGCTTTGAAGACACTAAAAATGCAGATTTTGTTTTGTGTAATACAGTGGAAGAACTTGAACCTGAGACTATTTCAGCTCTAAAAGCCAAAATTCCATATTATGCAATTGGACCCATTTTCTCAAGTGACTTCTCCAAAACAATTGTTGTTACTAGCCTCTGGTCCGAGTCCGATTGCACCCAATGGCTAGACAAAAGGCCCAATGGCTCGGTCTTGTATGTCTCATTTGGTAGCTATGCCCATGTAACAAAAAGAGACTTGTTAGACATAGCAGCAGGACTTGCCCTCAGTAAAGTGAGTTTTGTTTGGGTACTTCGCCCGGATATTGTTAGCTCTGATGATGCTAATCCATTGCCCGCTGGATATCATGAAGAGGTTTCTGACCGTGCGATGATCATACCTTGGTGCAGTCAAAAAGAAGTGTTGACCCATCCCGCGATCGGAGGGTTCTTAACACATTGTGGGTGGAATTCCACGTTAGAAAGCATATGGTGTGAAGTACCATTATTGTGTTTCCCTTTATATACCGATCAATTCACGAATAGGAAATTTGTGGTTGATGATTGGAAAATTGGAATTAATTTGAGTAGCAAGAAGGTGATCACAAAAGATGAAGTTTCAGAAAATATTAACCGTTTGATGTGTGGAGAATCAAAGGATGAATTTAGGAATAGAATCAAAGAGGTGAAGAAAACATTGGAAAATGCAGTGTCACCTACTGGATCATCAGAGAAAAATATGGTTCAATTCATCAAGGATTTAGGGACAAAGATTGAAAAGATGGCTAAAGCCAAAAATTCCATCTGCAATGGCCATGCTCTATGTTGAGCGGAAACGGAAGTGGAAGTGCGAAACGCGGAAACCGACATTGGTTTTTTTAAAATATAAGAAATAGAAACGGAAGCGTGTAAATATAAAAAATATAATTATATTTTTATAAATATAAAAATATAAATTTTTGTAAAACCATTAAATATATTTAACAATCAGTTAGAAGTCCAATCAATTATTTAATTATATCCCAAAAAAAAATTATAAGTTTCATATTCATAAAAAATATATGTTTTATAAATTTGTATTTATTTATGCATTTATTTTAATTAGAGAAATGAGTTTTTGAGAGTTTTCAGTATACGGAAACATATTTAGAGAGGGAAAACGTGTTTCCAAATTACTCAATTTACGAAAATAGCCACGAAACATTTCTAAGGAGTTTCCAAGCGTTTCGGCGTAGAAAACGTTTCTGAAACGTGGAACCGGCAGTCAAAAGAAGTTTAAGTACAACATATGTCATGCTTAATTGCACAAAAATTTACCATGTATATAACTATGTACATCCTTTTTGTTTGTGTAGATTTGAATGAAGGTGCTATTTGGTTTTTTTCTTGTTCTTAATCAATTTTAATGCTTTCCTAAGTATTGGGAATGAGAGTTAAAGTCTTGCTTACACTTCTTAATAGTTCAAAAGTATAGATGGTAAACTTTCAATTGTAATTTGTAAACTTGATGAGTCTTCTAATAATCCTCTTTGTTTGCAATTTGCATAATTTTTATAGCTATTCCCAATACACTCAATGCATAATTCACCTATATAGTTTTCGAAAAAAACTTCATTTTATTAGATATTATAAAGGAATAAAGCCGAATTTACTCCCTAAAATTGTAATTTAAGAAAAAAAAAACCCAAAATCAATCTTTTAATTCAATTTATTCCTTTGAACTTATAACTTATATGGGTCAGAAGCTAATATAAGAGGAACTTTTGCATTATTTAAGTGTGAATTAGTAGGCAAATAAAGCTAAAATTACAACTTCATGGGGAAAATCAAAGTAATAAGTTTGTTGGAATAAATTGAGCCAAAAGGTTGATTTTGGCTGTTTTTTTTTTTCCCCTTGAATAACAAATTCATAAAGTATGTTAGTCTTTTGTTTCCATAGTTAGTAATTGTCAGCTATCCTAATAACTGTCAGCATTTCATCGAGTTTCATAATTCTCTCCAACTCTAAACATTGGTATAAAAATTAACATCAAATAATATAAATAATAGAGATAGTGTTCTGAACTTAATCAAAAGGATACACTCATAAAAAGTTGTTGAATAAAGCCTATAAAAAATAATAATAATAATAATAATAAAAAAAAACAGAAGAACAATTATGAGAATGTTTTTTGGGATCCATTTAATATTGCCATTGCAATTGCAAAGTAGCAGATTTCGACCCAGTAGACTTGTGCTGCGTCCAGTATGAGCGAAAAAAAAAATAATCCCTAGTAGAAAAAAACAATATCCAAGCCTAGTAGGCAAAACATGTGCCTTACCATTTATTCTGCCAGTTATTTCAGGTGAGCATGTGCCTCAAGGCACACAAAACTAAGATTGAAGTAATTGAGCTTCATAGCTGACACAAGGGCCAGGTTTCTTACAAGACAGCCAAATACGAAACTGTTATTATTACAAGTGATGCACTAATGACTCACCTAATGAGCTCAGTTGCCATAAATCGTTGCTCCAGCTGTAACTATGATTGTCTGCAGTGAAATTTCAAAGAGAGTACCTATCTTCAATGAAAATGACTTTAAAGTGTCCCTAACAGCATTTTCCCCACCCTTTTTTCAATCACATCAAGAAAGAAAGGGTTCTCCACTCCAACTTTTATATATAACAAGACAAATATTCTATCGCTGAACTATAAAATGCCTTCATTAGAATGTGGAATGCATTTCTAACTTTCTGTCATTAAGTTTCTAATAAATGAAACAAGCAATGAATTTGAGTAAAAGGGAAACATTGAACTTGAATAGAAACAAGACTACAAGTCCACCTTCCATTCATCTTGGATTGACCGTATCCCGATTACAACGGCAAAACTTAAGTACAGATTCGTTTTTTCCTACACGAAAATGCAGTACAATAAACACTAGAAAACGATACCCAATTGCCATGAGAAATAATACCAACAGATTCTCCCATTTAGAGTTACTGTCAGAAGAGATATCATATGCACTTCGAAGGGCTTGAAAGCCGGAAATGGTCCTTACTTCTCCAACAGCGAATGAAGTTCCTAGGTACTCATTCTCCAAAAGTCCCTATATTGTGAAAACAGATGACAAGTCTAAAGATTTTCAGACGTAAAATTTACTTTAAAGATTAGCCAAGAATTGGCAAAATTTGAAAATTATCAGAGAAAAAAACATTTTCAACATTGCTTCTTTCTAGGAACTGGATAGTCAGATTCAAAGAAGCAAAAGTTGGCCAATTATAATATTGTTTTGTATCAGGGAGTGAATTCAGCAACACAGTATGTCAGAAGGAACAGTTAGAAAAAGTGAAATTACAAGCCTACTTACCTGAATAGAGTAAGTGTGGAAAGCAATGTAGGATACTGGATATGTCCACATGGGTCCTGGCAAAGCATTTCGAATTCTAAAATACCCTGCTGAAAGCATCATTAACACCTGAAATCCGACATGTAATTGCAATGAGATTTTAGGATGGCAAGCCATAGATTGTGCTAAATCTAAATATACAAGCAATCATAGACCGGTGAAAGTTGAACACACCAATGTATTCTTAATTTGTTAATATATGTACATACAACAGTGGATAACCCCAAGAATTATCTATCAACACTATTAAGTAACATCATTTGAGTCCACATTTTAAGACTATAAATTTTAATATTTGCAACTCAGCTTTGCTCTCATCCTGTCGAACTGCTAATTCCCTAGAAACTCCCTCACAAAAGAGAGAGAGAGAGAGAGAGAGACTCAGCATTGACTTACATTTGTAGCACGCATGCAAGAGAGAGTGTGCAAATGTCTGTGTGTTTGTGCAGGTAAAGCAAATTATTTTCCCCCAAGTTATGTCATTCTATGCAAAATCTAAACCGTCTGGTAATTATAACCTTAAAAACATGGATAACCATAATGGAACTCACATGTACTGATACCAGTGTCAAGACACTCCAGAAAAGATGTTGCCAAAGGGAAGTGATAAGCAGCATTAGTCCTTCATTTACCACAAGACAAATGAAGAAATTCAAAACGAAGTACATTAATAAGCTGAATTCATCCCGCAACCCTATCAGGAAATAGAAGACAAGACTTGATGAGATGGAGATGAGAAAAAGGAATGGGATGCTGGAGAGAAGCTGCCCAAGTAAAAACACTAATGCCCCAGAATGCTTATTTGGTTCTTCACAGGCATATATCTGCAAAATAGAGAACCAGACTGATCAAATGAACCATGAGAAAGATAAACCTCAGGCAATCAAAAAAAATACAGAAAACACAGGCTTTCAGTATGTATCAAGCACGTCAGCTGCCATAAATAAATGTTAACCATCAAATAAGCATATTATATTCACTTGTATTCTGCCAGAAATAAATAGCTGAGTTAAATTTAATAAGTCCTTTGGAGAATCGTGAGCCAATATTTCAAAGTGGAAATTCGACACCAACAAGAGCAAGTATTAAGCATATGGTGCAAATCCTAATAGATTTACAGTCGATAACACAACAAATTGGAGGAAATAAGGAAAACAGAATGTTCAATATGAGTGAGATACAGTTCCAAAAACAAAACTAAAGTACCAGCCCCACCAATTTTTCTTCTCATAACTATCACTAGCTATAAAAACCATATCTATAATGTTATTTAATTTTATGCAAGAATTTGATACTTCTCATTTCAAGCATCGGCAACCACATCACCAATAGAACTCGAGATAATACCTTGATTTCCTTCAGAAGTGAAGGAACTCCCGCAATGCTTAGAAGTGAAGTAAATGATACAAATACGAATATTGCTGCAACCCTTGTCTGAAATATGAGGGTGAAGATATCAGAAACCAACTCGTGAGCCTTGTCAGTGTAACAGAAATTGTTGATGCAATATGTATGATCTCATTCGAGAAGCAGAACAGAACCAGAAACTGATATCAAGCTACCCAAACATTTACCTACATAAATATTGAAAGAGAAAAGGTACAAGAAAATTCTGCCAGAACTTTGAGAAGATGCATCTTACATCAATCAAAGGTTTTAAACAAGCAGATATTCCTACAAGTCTTGTATGGATCCTCGGATGTATGAGCAGTTGCAGAGGTGATAAGAGCAAGTTGCTGAATATCGAAAGGCACATTTTCTTAGAAAAGCAACAGTCTTTACGAGATAAGATTGCTAGAAGAATTGCATACATAGTGACTGCCAGAATAATCACTCAGATATGTGCAAGGCCAGGCTTAAGGTAGACCTCCCTCTCAAATATGTTCTGCAAACTTTGACATCATCCCATAGCTAACTAGGATTCAAATTTTTTTTATTTTTTGCGTTACTATTTCTTTTCAGTATTTATGGAGGGAAAATCGAATGCACTATTCGTAGTTTTATCTTTAAGCAACTCACCACAACAGAAGACAATGAGTGTCCCAGACCAGAAAATACTGTCCCAATGCATAGTGTGAGAAGCATACAAAGAATTAGACGAAGCCAATAGTATTTCCATTCCCTTGACATAATTAATAATGATCTCCAAGTCAAAACTGCAATCCTAGTAGCACTGCTAGCTTTGCCCTTACTTTTAAGATGTGGACCCTCCTGCAGAAGTAAACACAGACGACAAGAAAGTTATTGAAGACTCATAAAAGCCAGTCCTTGATGAAGCCATGCATGTACCAATGTTCGCACTTCAGTTTACATTTTATGGAAGCAGGCATTACAGCCATCGTTGACATTTATTAGATTTCAAAAAATTTCCTTCAGAGAAAAGTTATTACTTCCATCTCTTTTGAAACCATAAACACACAAGAACTAACACACATGTGCAAGCATGCACACAGATGCATTAAACATGGCTAATCCCTTCACAACAGCCATACATTTCAAAGCAAAATTATAGACCGGCTCTTTTCCTCTCTTTTGATAGTCACAATATAGACCCACAGCCCACCCAAACCAGCTCTCTGTACCACTTAAAACGCAAAATCATCAAAACAAGTATTATAGATTAGTTCTGACAATTTTGATCTAGCTACCCTGTACTAAACATGATGAGTGATGACCATCACAGCAATATGCTTCAAAGTTGCAACGATGCTACACCTATTCTGCCCACAATCAATGAAAGAATGAACTAAAAAATGATGTGTGCAAATGAAAAGCCTGCATCTATAGGCCAAACACAAAAAGTCTAACGAGAAGAGTTCACAAATTTTACACTCATACCTTTTCTGTGAGTCTCAATATCATTGTTTCAACCGCAGCAGCATCTGCTGATGATTTATATGTTGCTTCTAGTGTGCGTATAGCAACAGCAGTATCCATATTTACCGAAGAGAAATCTCCATGGTCATCCTGTTACCATGTTTTGACTTGTATTACATTTAAAAGTCAAATTACTTCAATTAACAGGAGAGGACATCATTGTGCCATATAGATACACAAAATAATATAAGATTTAGCATATTTCATTTTCCCTCAGACTGAAAAATTAACCAATTACAATTTTTGATATATCCAACAACTAAAAACATCTTGTCTCACCATTATCTTTTTTTCTGTTTTAAGGGCATCTTAATTGTGCCATTCAAGCATGACTATATTTGCAATGATAAGGAAGTACCTGCCAGTTTTTGCACATTGCAATAATCCTGTCAAAATCCGTGTTTATTGCACGTAAGAAGTGATCGGAAGGACTTTGCATAATTGGGCAAGGAAATCCAGCATTTGAGAAGTGCTTCATCAAAATAAGATCTGTCAGTTAGCATCCACCCACAATGCTCTTGTAGTTACAAATAAAAGAAAATAACAAATTATCAGTTGTCTTGCATTATAAAATGATTCTGAATTCACAAATTTTTTTATTTTCAACAACCAAATGTAGAAAAAAATAGAAACCCATTTTACGTGGTTAAATTCTCAATAGCTACTAAATGCATAAAGTGGCCCATGTGAGATGGCCATCACTAATTTCAAAATAAGTTCCTTTATCCAAAGCTGGAAGAAAGAATGAGATCAGATTTTCAGTATCTTACCTGCAAGCATGCCAAAGTTTCTCCAAAAAATAGTGTATTTCCATTTGATAGCAGACAGATCCGATCAAAGAGGCCAAATACTTCTGTGCTGCTCTGGTAAATGGTAAAGATAAGAGTGCAACCAGTGCTGGCAAGTTTCTTTAGTGTAACCATCATTAGAAGAGCAGAAACACTGATCAGAAAAAAGCCCAAAGGTTAAAACATTACCTAATACAAAGGCACAAATCACCATGAGCACACAAAGATTATGGCCAGAGCAGTTGCTATAAATATAAGAAGAAAGGATGATGAAAATTGACACCAGTGGATCCCATATAAAATGAGCTGAAAGAAGAAAAGAAAGATAACCTATCAAGATGATAAAGGGGCTCATCTATAAATAAGATATGGGGCCTCATCACAAGCTCCCTGGCAATGCTAACACGTCTTCTCTCACCATTAGGAAGGCCTTTCATATAACAGTGGCCTCCAATCAATTTGTTTGCATAATCACTCAAGGACATGGCATGGATAGCATCCTCTACCACACTCTTTTTCTGGCAGAAGAAACCAGGAAGTTGAAGAAGTGCAGAGTAGTATAAGTATTCTCGGACAGTAAGAGATCCAATCAGAGTAGTTTCCCTTTCAACAAAACCCTACAAAATAAAGGCATTCCAAAATCCATTAACTGCTACTTCATTGCAAAACAAAATAAAAACTTTTATAGTTCCACCACTGCATTTGCAACTATTATTTTCCATCTGAAGACAACTTTCTCTTGTAACAGAAATTAATTTCCAAGATAGATATTAGATAACTATGATTACTATCAAAACCTGATATGTGAAAAAATTCAGGTCAACTTAAGAGAGGGATATGATCTAATCTTTCATGCTTAGTTCAAGGGTACAAAGTCCATAGAATTCTAACTTATAATATTCATTACAATCAAAATACTCAGATAACTGGAAAAGAACATCAGAAGATAAATTGACCATATATTGATTTTATAAAAATGATATTGGAAGGGACGTCAAAAGGATGGGATACCAAAGATTGAAGCAACTGATTACCAGTCAAAGACCTTACCAATTTTTGATTTGAGAATTGAAACAGGAATAATATTCTATATTGAGGGACGTCTATAGCTGCTCTGCATTTTGCTACTAAAGGACATTTAGTCAATGCAATCCATGTGCACTGACCTAGACTTGACAATGCAAATCCTTATAATAAATTAACCAGCTATTGAAGAAATAAACTTAAATAAACTCCATGAGAAAAATGAAAGTAGTACAACATGAACATCAATTATTTTAAATCTAAAGCAGATGAGTATCTTTCTTGCCTACAAACCAAGACAAAATATATCCTCAGAGTGAAATCAAGAATATAGCATTGAACGAAATACAGTTTAAGAAAATATATATTAAATTGCTGTTGAAAAAGATAAAAAAAGATGCCTTCAAAGACAACTTACATATGAGCCATAAGGCAAGTGTGATTTGGCACCATTGACAAATACTTCACCATACATTCTGGCTGAATGATGCAATCTTCCTGAAATAAAGAGAAATTCCTTCTGAATTCTAAACAAGCAAAAGATATAGATAATAAATTCATTCAACTGTTAAATAACTGATCACAATGAATAGCATGCTAATAAACCTGCAATAGCCCTTAGCAACGTGGATTTCCCAGACTTTGCAGGACCCATGATTACTGTCATCGTCCCTGGTAGTGCATAACCTGTTGAGCTCTTGACAACTTTATCTGAGTACTTCCTTTTACCCTTGATTGTAACAGTCAAGTCTTTCCATACAATCGAAGCTCCTGCAATCTTTCTAGCAACAACTGCATTCTCTGGTAATGGTGGGGATGGCAGTGATCCACTATTGAGCTTTGACAGGGATGGAGACGCTGGTGTGGTGACAACATTGATTGAGTCACCTCCTTCCTCCACTCTAACATCAATATCTGTATCCTCCCACTCTGGTGAATCCTCAAATGAGATTGGTTGTCTAAGCGAACCAGGCTTCCGCAAGTAGAAAAAGTTACTTGAAGGCACTCTGCTTGCAGGACTACTTGCCGAAGATGACGAAGACCTATAGTTATCTGATTGAGACTGTATCTCTTCCATCTTCAACTCAAACTTTTTGAGAACTCAAATTATCAAAAGTGATATTTCATAATTTAACAGATGTTTCACCTTATTTATTTCCCAACCAAAAGACATCAATGCTACTATTCATACTTTTCCATCTAGAAAGAGACATCCCAGCTTCCTCTCAAAAATGCAAAAACATCTACTACATCACAGTGAAAGATAATAAGAAACAAAAAATACAATTCCTAAATAGTAAAAGCATACCATTTAAGGTTCCTGTATTGGACACCAATACCAATAGGAAAAAATCCAAGAAACCATCAAAGAGAAATGCTAAGTTATCAATAAAATGTAATGCTCTGGGATCGAGTAATCTAATGCAACCAAATAATTAAATAGAAAATGGAAAACCGTTGTAATTATGTAAACAAAAATACAAAATAAAAGTGAAAACATATCCCACTTTGATTTGCAGCTTTAAAAAATTAACAGATAAAACAGTTATATGGTTTTTTTTTTTTTTTTTTTTTTTTTAAATAAAAATGGTAAAAAACCGTTGTATATGTAAAGGAGTAATTAGATGCAGAAATAAAAAGTGAAACATATCCCAACTTTGATGCAGCTTTAAAAAATTAACAGATTTAAAACAGTATAGTGTTTTTTTTTTTTTTTTGCAAAAAAATACCAATTAATTCTCTGTTATACCATCAAAAATCAACCAAAGATTACAAATGAAGTCCTGAAACAATAAAAAACAGACATCATTGTGCTCAGGTTTATTCCTTTTGTTTTCTTCATTTTCTCAGTAAAACAATATATTATAGAATTGCCCAACTACTTCAAAGCCTAACTTCAATAGAAAGAAATAAAACGACAGATGACAGCAAACAAATCAAACCAACTACTACCGGTGTTTCATGAAGCTCAAGTAAAGTGTGCAGTTCTACAGCTAAATATTCCAACTACCACGTACCATTTTTTTTAATTTATTTAACGTGAACGAGGTACCTAAGTCTATTCCCAATAAACTAAAGGAAAAACCTCAAAAAGGTTGAAGTTCACAGCTTAAAATACTCTTTAGCTCTAATAAGCTTGTAGTTTCTCGTTTTTTCCCCTCAAACCCACAGACACAAAGCACCCCACTTCACAGTTCCCTTCTTTCCACCCTCGTTTTAATCAAGTGAATCCAAACAGAGAACAATAGCCACTAGTACATGAAATATTCAATTGATACCCACTGTCAAAATAGGAGAAGGACTAGAAGGAAGGGATAAAGCTAAGAGAGAGGTAACTCCAGTCCATACCCCCAACGCCGACACACCTGATCCTGCGGTGCAGACAGCGCACCACGCCACACGAACAGACAAAGAAATAATATGAAAGAGTGAACAATGGAAAGAGTAAAGAGAAGAAAGCGGGCAAGCTTTAATAATTAAGGAAAGTAATGATTAAGTGATACTATTTTGAAACCGCCTTATTCCGCGTAATAGTTCTGGGTTGGTTCCTATCTCGAGCCTTGCTTCTTCTTTTCTTTTCCTTTTCTTTCTTTTTTTTTGTTTTTTTGTCTTTTTCTTTCTCCTTAAATTACCTTTTTTATTTCTAAGATTTTGGTTGTAATTAATGTTTTGCCCACTTTGAAAGGCAAAAAAACAAATTGGAATCTACATTTTTTAAGATAAAAAGTAAGTGTTAGTTTTGATTATCAGTTAGCTCAATCCATTTAAATAAGTAAATTAGAATGTGATTTTTCGAGAGAGAACAAAAAAACTACCTCAGCCATATGGGTTTAGGGATGATCATCTAATCCTATCTATAGGTAATTTTTTTCCAACTCGATCTGAATAAAATTAAATTTTACATATCCGCATTTAAAGGACAGTGGATGTAATCTTTTAAATAAAAGTAATATGTTTTGCACTCCTTTATAACTTTTCTTTTTCTTTTTAATGAATATCTTATGAA